TCGAAAACAGATACCAGCAAATGTTTTACAATTGGGACTTTTAAATTTCTCACCATATTCAACAATATCATACCAAGATGTCCAATTACCAAGTGGCATAATCACTTCATCAATATCAATACCCGCCACATAATCATATTTATATATGTTCCTATAAAAGCAATCGTTGTATGGAAACATTTCGTTTAATATCATATTCAGATAATCCTCCTTCATAATGTAACGCTGGAAATTAGCAAAGACCGGCTCACCGCGTGCATAAGAATATGGATATACCTTAAGAAAACCCTTTTTCTTATAATAATCAATCACTTTTGTTGCATTTGGATGTACAGCAAGTGAGTAAGCAATAACTTCTTGGGCACCTAGTATTCGCATCATTTCCATCCACTCCACCAAGCGTGCGGATATATCTGCAAATGGAAACATGAAACCCTTAACACAAACCGCGAAACCACCTTTCTTTCTTTTGCCTAATGGTGGTTCATAGATGACTTTTAAATGATTTGTAGCTTTATCACACTCTTTATTTACAATGGATATACTTCGTGGTGCTTCGGAAGCTTTCTCTTTAGGCAGTATACAGGTTAACATATGTGGATACAAGTGATTAAATTTATTTCCCCAACCCTTAATCCATACAACTAAATATTCAGTTATTGGCACAATCACAGGTTCCTTTTGTGATTCGAACCAGAATTGGCAGTAATTCGTATTGAATTTCTCTTCAATTTGGTTTATCATCGCAAAAATGCGTACTACGGGATGTTTTGGAATATCGGTGCGATTATCATAGTATGCAGCAAACAATTCAAATGTTATATTCTTATTACTGTAGTGTTGATAAAAATTATTATGGAACTGTATTTCAAGTACTTCCGGATATGGAGCACATGTGGTATTTAAACGAAAACCTCTGTAACGATTTTTCACATGAAGCTCCAGTGGCAGATTAGGTAATTCTTCATTTACCGCTTTCACCATTTCTTCAAAGGTGGGTTCTAAACAATAATTTATTAGATATTAAACATTTTAAAGCACTTAATTTTCATTACCTCGCACTGATGTATCCAATTTCAGTTCTTGCGGATATATGAATTTGTGAATTTTTGTAGAAAAATTGATGAAACCAAAATTCAGTAATATAATTGCAACAAAATTAATGAAAGTGATAAATGCCAAAATCTTAAATCCGTGTTTTTTAAGCATTTTGTTCTTAAATTAATTACAATAATTATTATATAAAAAAATTAAATGATAAATGAATTAAAACTTTTTTCGGATTTTTTAGTAACACACTTTCTTAATCGCAATTTAGCTGATAACTAAACATTAGAACATTTTCTTACCTTTACTTAATTCAACATTTTTTGAAAACCAAATAAAAACAATCTAAGTCAAGCTACCAAAATATTTTGTTGATATATCTTTGTTTATCAAAAATCTTTATTTAACATCAAATGCAGACTACGCCAAAAAATTCGCTCAAACTGACTACAGTACTTGATTGAATTCTGGAAGAGTTACACATTTATGTTGATTAAGACAGAATTATCTGAACTGACACTTAAGACAACGAGTATTTACTTAGTTAAACAAAGGTCTGTAGATAAGTGAGATTTGAAGTACTTGAAACATCTGTGTAAATTATATTTCTTGCAATATTTAAATTGAATACCCGATGATATTGAAATCGAATTACTAAATGGTTTAATAATTTCAAAATATTTTAATACATCAGGTGAACAATTAGTTTAGTTTCTTTTGGTCTACTTTCAATTGCATTATAAATAAACTCAAAAAAAATAGTACTGAATTGCATATTAGTACTATTCACAGCGACTATAAAGCGTGCAAAACATAACACTTTTCTAAAACGCCTAGCTCGCATTCTTGGACGAGGTTTCGGAGATTGGTAAAAAAGCTTTTATAAGGCCATATATTATAAAGGCAAGATACTTATTTTTCATAAGGCGGGTGGCAGATGTACTTCACTTAAGTATTTTGCACTATCATTTCATTACAAAAATTTAACACTAGTTCTTGAAAAGTGTACACGTTTTCATTTATCGGTTTAAATTTAGCAAATTAAATTAATTGCTAAATTTTAATTGAAAACTGTAGACTCTTTGCGTTTTCCTAAACAAAACTATATTTTTAATTTATACCTTTGATATTGCAACAAAAAAGTTAAAGTCTGCAAACTGCACAAAAAAATTACAAAATACATATATTAAATTAAAACATAAAAATTCTTGAAAAGTATAAAAAACCTAATGTGATATTTAAAAATCATTGGAAGTAGTCCAATGATTAAAGATAATACGACTCAATAGGTTCAATAGCAAATAGGTTAGTTCAAACTTTTAAAATATAATTTATAAGAATAAGTTTCAAACCACCTTTAAATTTGTATAAAAATAATATATATTTATATATATTTCTGTTTAATGAGCACTTTTTATTCTTATTTTTTAATAACCTGCTTTATAGTAAAACGTTAAATACACTTCGTATAAACCTTTTCATTCTGTGACATCTCCTCAAGTTAAAATATAGTCTTAACTTGAAGTTTTGCATTTACTTTTAACTAATAGGAAATAAACTTTAAAGTATATATATATAAATATATATATAAGTACCTATATCTATATCTATAATATACCATCCCTGAAACAATTTGAAACATTTGAGTAAACTACAGTTGTTTTATTTAATAATCCACTATTGTAGTGACAGATTTTTTGTTGTTTATTTAACAAAACCTTATTTTCGCGTTTATTAAAATAATCAGTAATTTTGTCTATTAAATTTACTTTATACGAGTATATAAATAGATTGAGATGGTGTTATAAGAGTCACTTTAATTTGATTGCGTTCATATAGAAAAAGTACAACTTCTGTCCCTGTACTCACATAAGTAATAATGGTAAAAACACAGTCCAAATGTGAAAACAGCAAAAGAAAGTGGAAAGCATACTCCTTCTGTTAAATCCTTTATCTGTTTTTACAAGATGAAATAATGTACAAATACTGTCGAAGGATAACTCATCGATCGTTGTCAATATTCCACTATGCCACCAATAGTGTTTCCATATTCGGACAATTTACAAAAGAAATATCTATACAGTACAGGTTAGAAATTGAGATATTGAGTTTAAGGCAATTAGGTTTATTGCATTAATTAACAAATCTCGTAAAACTCTGTCATTATAGATCAATAGGTTTCTGGATTTACTTTTGAGAGCGACATGTCTTTATTAATACTTTGTACTACTAAAGATGTCATATTTTTTCTCATTTTAAACAACATCACGTTCTATATGAGTTGGAAATTCATATATAATATCATAGCATTTGTGCTACTATCTTTTAGCACAAATGCTACTGAATTCTAAGATTGACTAAATGTATAATTTTGTATAAAGATCATTTTATCTAGTATCTTCTTTAACTCATTGACAACAGAGTAAACAAAGCAATCTAAATTGTATGAATTTATGAATGGAGAATACGTTAAGTATGTTTCTTTCTTTGGTTATCATTACGATGTTGACTAATTTTAGAAAATTAATTAAAGCAACTTCTATATTTATCTGAGACGTATAATAATTGTTAATTTCTCCAACTTTTTTTTTTTTTGCAATTTTTGCACATTGCCGACTATGTTTTTGTAAAATTAACTCTGTTAGTAGGTTTTTTCCCAGCAATCAACTCTACACACTAGCGTAATGTATCTTTCTTCATAAAAAATAAGTAAAATAATATGAATTATCAATGGCGTTAGTTGAAGTTACTATATTACAAACCGTTCCGGTAATAAGTCAAACATATATTTCTGATTATTTAGGAGAGATAAAAGACATTTCAAAAATGTTACACCAGAAACGTGAACCAGAGCTTGAACAACCCGAAATTATCAGCCAGTTTCCATAGCATTACACACTATAAAATTACTTATTATGCTTAAATCTTATAAATTAAGAATGCTGCTTATCTGTATTAGAAATCAAAATATCACGACTATATGTAACCAAATTACTCTAACATATTATTAACTGAAAGAATAAACAATATGTTATTTCTAAATAAATTTACTTTCTTCTGCTTTGTACTGCCATAATCAAATTTTTCCATTATCTCGAAGACTATTAGTCTACTTCTAATAGTTGCTTCGAGTATTGCCATGTACCCATCATCAGTGGTCTTTTGGAATCATGTCTTATATTTAATTATTCGTAATTATTTTTATTATTCTTTAAACAGCAAGTACGAAGGTTTGAACTCGTACCCAGACAAATTCTATTGGTAAATGTTCATATTTAATTGATATAAGAGAAAATATTGAGCTCTCAACTAATAACTGAAATCACGTGCCAGTAAAAAAGAAGAAATTGACAAGTTCTATAGGATGTATATTTCGAAATCAAAATTTATTCACGTCAGAAAGCAGAAGCAGAAAATTGTTATTGAAGGTGGGGTAGGTGCCAAAGTAATCTTATATTGAATTAATTTAAAACTATATAGTTCAGTTCTAATTTGGAATTGGCTTAATTGAAGTAAAGAGCAAAGACTTGTAGTACTTCATTTAAGTTAAAACAAGTCAGAAGGTAGTGGTAGATAACTTTCAGTAGGTAAGTTTTTTCCAAACACTGCTAATATACTACTATTGAAACTAAAGCAGCTGAAATGTCGCTCAGATGTTATTATACAAAATATTATTACTTGATAAATAATAGAAATATATGTGTAATTTCTACACACGACATTATCTAACCCATATAAGAAATCAGCATTTTGATTATGGTATATCCGAATCTCGCAAATATATGCAGTTATAAGAGAATCCAATCAAAATGTAAATTAAATATTGTATGTTTTAACTAATTCACATATGTAATTAATCAACTTGATTTTGTTTTTTTGATTGAAGTACTATTTACTTCCTATAAAGTCATCGCTATATTAAAAGTGGTTTACAAATTCACACAAAATACTTCAACAGATATATAATAAATAAATATAAAATATTTTAGTTTTTATAAGTATCACTTGAAATAAATATTATATTACAGCCATTATATCACACATTCATAAACTAAAGCTATTTCAGTTCTTGTCTACAATGAAATGACAATTTTAATTTTCGATTTCCGTATCTTTAAAGAAATCTAAATCCTCAAAAACTCTCATTGTACGTTTAATTAGGTTGTCCTTAAATCTCCAAATATTCGGATCCATAATAGTTAAATTCAAAGTATTCTTATCGTCTGGCTCTCGGTAATGTTGAAGCTGTGCATCGGTAGTATTCATATCAAGATCTCGACAACCCAAATAATCCAAACTGTAATGATTATGTAGTGTTAAAGCGTATTTTGTGTTATGTAAACATTTTGTTGCAAAGCCACTTGGCATATGTTTCTCAATTCTCTTTACATGTTGCAACATATAAAAATAACTCGGAATATCGGTGGAATAAGGCGGTTGACCTTCATATTTCGGATAATAGGTGTTTCGAAAACAGATACCAGCAAATGTTTTACAATTGGGACTTTTAAATTTCTCACCATATTCAACAATATCATACCAAGATGTCCAATTACCAAGTGGCATAATCACTTCATCAATATCAATACCCGCCACATAATCATATTTATATATGTTCCTATAAAAGCAATCGTTGTATGGAAACATTTCGTTTAATATCATATTCAGATAATCCTCCTTCATAATGTAACGCTGGAAATTAGCAAAGACCGGCTCACCGCGTGCATAAGAATAAGGATAGACCCTAAGAAAACCCTTTTTCTTATAATAATCAATCACTTTTGTTGCATTTGGATGTACAGCAAGTGAGTAAGCAATAACTTCTTGTGCACCTAGTATTCGCATCATTTCCATCCACTCCACCAAGCGTGCGGATATATCTGCAAATGGAAACATGAAACCCTTAACACAAACCGCGAAACCACCTTTCTTTCTTTTGCCTAATGGTGGTTCATAGATGACTTTTAAATGATTTGTAGCTTTATCACACTCTTTATTTACAATGGATATACTTCGTGGTGCTTCGGAAGCTTTCTCTTCAGGCAGTATACAGGTTAACATATGTGGATATAAGTGATTAAATTTATTTCCCCAACCCTTAATCCATACAACTAAATATTCAGTTATTGGCACAATCACAGGTTCCTTTTGTGATTCGAACCAGAATTGACAGTAATTCGTATTGAATTTTTCTTCAATTTGGTTTATCATCGCAAAAATGCGTACTACGGGATGTTTTGGAATATTGGTGCGATTATCATAATATGCGGCAAATAATTCAAATGTTATATTCTTATTAGTGTATTCTTGATAATAATTATTATGGAACTGTATTTCGAGTACTTCCGGATATGGAGCACATGTGGTGTTTAATCGAAAACCTCTGTAGCGATTTTTCACATGAAGCTCCAGTGGCAGATTAGGTAATTCTTCATTTACCGCTTTCACCATTTCTTCGAAGGTGGGTTCTAAATATAATTCATTAGATATTAAACATTTTAAAGCACTTAATTTTCATTACCTCGCACTGATGTATCTAATTTCAATTCTTGCGGATATATCAGTTTGTGAATTTTTGTAGAAAAACTGATATAACCAAAATTCAGTATTATAACGGCGATAAAATTAATGAAAGTGATAAATGCCAAAATTTGGAATCCGCGTTTTTTAAACATTTTGTTCTTACTTTAATTATAGTATTAATATTTAGTAATTGTAGTTATAATATTTTTTAAATAACACAAATTAAATTAATTAAAATTAGTTGCCGATTTTTTAGTAACACACTTTCTTAATCGCAATTTAACTGAAAACTAAACATTGGAACATTTTCTTACTTTTATTTAATTCAATATATTTTAAAAACCAAACAAAAACAAGCTGAGTCAAGCTACCAACACATTTTGTTGATATATCTTTGTTAATCCAAAATCTTTATTTAATATAGAATGCAGAATACGCTAAAAAATTCGCTCAAACTGACTACAGTACTGGAGTTCTAGAAGAATTACACATGTAAGTAGATTAAGACAGAACTATCTGAACTTACAACTGAAACAACGTGTCTTTATTTGGTTTACAAAGTGAGAATTTGATAAGTGAGAATTGAAGTATAATGAAGGTCTGTAGAATTGAACTTTTATAATATCAAAGTATCTTAATATTTTACAACAGATCATAAACTAATTTCATTTTTTTTTATCAGGTTGTTAAAAGATAAGAAAGCTTTTCTTTCTTTTGAAAAATAAGTCAGAAAAGTTTAGTCTTAACTTTCCATAGAAAATCAATTAACATTCATTGTTTTCTTAGAAACATCAACACAATATATATATTTCAATGTGAACATATTTATTCAATTTATAATTACATTATTTAAGAAATACGATTAAATACGACTAATATAATATATTGAATAACTTGTCACATAACATAATATGTGATATCATGATAAGTTAGTATCGCTTATCATAAAAAAATTTTTATCGCAAAAAAAATTAAATAAATATATGTGTTTTAATTAAATACAACATCAGAATATTCTGAATGAAAACTATTAAAACTTTCATCTTTAAAATTTTTTAAAGATTAAAATGATAGGAATGTACACTTTTTTGCAATTGATTTTGTAGTTTGAAGCTTTCCACACCTGACAGGTGTGTATGTCTCGGATTTTATTATGAAGTGTTGTTATAAGTCCTTTTCATAAAAGTAAACGAAGTGCAGAGCAAATATCTAATAAAATAAACCAAAAATTAAAGCAAAAATAAAGTGGAATAATATATTTATTAAAACTTCTGCCATAATACAAAAGAATAACTAACTTTATAAGGACATGTAAGTCAATAGTCAATAGTTAATAGAAGGTTAAGTCAATGGTTAATAAAAGCCTTCGTATAAATACACGAAGTTCCCACCCACTTACTTTAGATAACAGCACAATCGAGGATGTTAGATTTTTCATTAACCTAGGCTGTACCATGGCTGTCAATCGCGGATCTGCAGAAGACATAGATGTTAAAGCAGTAAAGCGAGAAAAGTTTTCGATCGATTAAAAAAAGTATGACTATCGAATCAGATTTCAAGATCAACAAAACTGAAAATCTATTCATCATGTGTCAAATCTGTCATGCTCTTTGGTTGCGAAGCTTGGCGCAACAACGCCAGTGAAATAAAAAATATTTAA